ATCAATGTGGGTTGTGCTTATAGCATGCTTATCTGTAAATCTGATCTTAATAGGGACAAATGACAGTACATAAGCTTGTAATCCAAGAAATGCCCACCACTACATGCAGTACTTGTTTCATTTTTGCCCTTAATTCTGACTTATTAATTAAGTCTAAAGTTAAACTGAAAACATATAGTACTTGTGTTGTTAAATACATTGTAGTACTGTGTAGAATGTGGTTCACAAAATTGTAGTAAAATTTCACAACAAAATGTTAAGAGCTGAAAACTAAGAATTACGCCTGAAGAGCTGCTTAATTTGAGCTTGGAAGTACTAAAAGTTAAAAGAGTGGTCTTACAATTTTTTGGAGTAACTTTAGAAAACAAACAGTCGTAGCAAATATGCATTGGGTGTGGGGTTTTGTAAGAGTTTTAAATACTATTTTGTAATCTCTTTAATGTTTCCATTGTGAAAATTACTCATCGTCTTTGTCCATATATGGATGTATGCGAAAAAGAAAACCACGTAAAATTATTTCTGTTTTTGACTTCTTTCATTTTTTGTCCTAAAATCCAATCCATTATGTAGAACATATACATAGTCTAATCACACATGTTGATATCGAATATTAGTAGTAGTTTTATGACGTATTTTAAACCTAATCAGACACTATTATATATATGTCATTAAGTTTTCGTCAAAATTAATCATTTGATGTTTAATGTTAGATGATAATTAATAACGGATGTAGTTAATTAGTACCAATATTAGGCTCTAGGCTTAAACATATGCAAATATCTGAAAGGCTTATAAAAAAAAAAAACATGCATGAGAAAGGTGAAGCAATCTGAAGACAGGGGCTGTTAGGTAAGCCGAAAGAAGTTGCCAAATTCTTTAAAAACTAGCTACCTTAGATTATTAAAATCCCTATAGTCCTTTTTTTATAATATTTTAGACCATAGAACAAAAACATTATTCCCTAAATTAAACTACAAAACCATCCCCACCGTCGCATCAGGCAACAAGGGGTAGTTAGTATAATGGTACTAGTGGCAATATATATATATATATATATATATATAATACCCTTATTACGTAGGCTATTTGGTGCAACAGAAAAGAAATTAAAAACCCATTTTAACGACTCTGCCACACCCAATACCGTACGCCAAATACCTGTCATTCCTTGGAAGGCACCGCTTAGACGTTTAAAACTTAATTTTCTCTTTGGTCCCATTATTGCATCCCTAAACGTCCTTCATAGGCCAAGGAAAAATAGAAGTTTAGCCTAAACACTTAAGAAAATCCAAAAAAATGAAAGTCATGCGTTTGGGCAAAGGAAGATGGCCAATATTATATATTTATATATATATATATATATACGTGTATATATATAGCGTCACATTGATAAAATGTAATGACAAAAGTATGGAATTAATTATTTTAGAGATAAAAACAATTTTGTACCTTGTATTATAGTAAAATATTGAGTTAGTACCTTGTATTTTTCATAATATTAAAATGGTACCTTTAAGTTTTAAAAAATATTTTTTCAGTACCTGAGCCTCTTTTTAGGACGTAGAATGACAATTTTACCTCCATTAATATTATCTCAATATTCTGACATGAAATTCAACTTCATTTTTTTTCATTAATTAGCTTAAAATT